CCATTAGACATAATGACACAATTACCCCTAATATTTACATAAATGGTAACCTTGCTCCTTAATTTTTGGGGAGCATTTTATTCTAACGTTTTAACTTTTCGTCAAAACAATATTTATTGGATAGAAACCGTTAGTTAACTAATAGTTAATATATGTTGTTGACATCACGTTTTTACATGTATTCAATTACTGATGAGAATTCTTATTTTTTAAGTTATGTGTCTTTGGACTTTTCAAAAAAAAATAACGGAATGATGTAATTTATTTGATTACTTGATTATATCTTATCTATAATTTTAACTTTTTATGATGAAAAAGTTTTTTAAAAAATCTCATATCCACTTAAGTGTTATTGCGACAATAAATTCGACATTTTAATAAATAAATTTTGAAACTCCACAAACTATAAATTTTGAGGATATAGTCTTATTTTAGCCATCAAATTGGAAAAAAGAAAGCTTCATTGTTATCCATATCCAACGAATAGAATTTCCCTCCAAAGTTGGCTCCTTTCTTTTTCCTATCCAAACTCTCTAATTGAAAAAACTGCTTTCCAATCCAAGGAAAAATGGCAACCTCTGCTTTAGCCATTGCAACTGCAAATCCCCTGACCCATCATTTATCCAACTCTAAATACTCTTCACCGCCATTCTTTTACTGTTCTTGTTCTTCTTCGTTGCCAGTGCCACCTCCGAATGAAGCCAAACTCTCTTTGAACTCAAAACCTGCTGCCAGGCAATGTGTTTTCAGTGTGGGTGCTGGGCTATTAGCAGCTTCAGTTCTTGCTTTCTCGCCATTGAATGCTGACGCCACCAGGATTGAGTACTTCGCTACTGTAGGGGAACCTCAGTGCGAGCTCAACTACGCTAAATCTGGTCTTGGTTACTGTGATGTTATTGTGGGGTCTGGTGAGGAAGCTCCGCGTGGAGAGCTTGTCAATGTAAGATCATTTCTTGAATTTGAGTTGGGTTCCTTTTGGTTTTGCTTTAAATTGTTTTGAATATCCTCAAAACTTGAATTTTGTTTGGTTGAGGAATTTGCTTAATTTTACATAATTTTCTTTGCTTTTATTTCATTTCTTTACATAACGTACTATGAACTATCTATAAGCTTCGCAATACAAAAGAGTAGAAACCTGCCATGGCAAGTTTTTGAACACCCAAATGTGTAAATATCAATATATATGCAGTGAGATAAGCATGATTTTATATTCGGAGTGCAACTTAGGAAATTATAATATAAATTTAGAGGGCACGAAATTATATCATCAATATAAAATATGAAAATATGTAAAATTTTAAAAATTTTAGGGGTGCAACCGAATCCTTAGTATCTCTCGGTCCATTATGCATATATGTATGTAATATGAATGCATTCCATGATTCATATTGTCATGATAGATTGCAGAATATGTAAATAACATTAGTTACATCAGATTGATTGAAGTAGGATTATTTTCTTTAATTTCTTCTTTGCATAGATTCACTACACTGCAAGATTTGCTGATGGAACTGTCTTTGACAGTAGCTATAAACGTGCTAGACCTCTTACGATGCGAATTGGTCTTCGCAAGGTACAATTTCCCTGTAGATGCATTTACTGCTGTTTTATTGTCAAATCTTTTCTTCTGAATTAAAATTGGTCTTGGCTAGTTGAGCTTCTTCTGCTTGTCCTTGGGCTGATAAATCTTTTTCTGTAATGGAAAACTAAGCTTATAGATCATAGATTCGCATCCTTATTAGTCATTGAACTTGTATCGATTCAAAGAACATGGAAAAAGACATGGAAGTTTATCGTTACAATTAGGGACAATTACAAGATCTTATGTTAGGAGGCAAATTATTAAAATTTTAATAGAGGATAAATTTATAAAATTCTAGGGACGAAAAACGATTATCAATATAAAATACAATGAAAATAGTTAAAATATATAATATTTTAAAATTTTTAGGGGTAGACTATTCCCAACAGTCTCCTTTCGGTCCATCCGTGGTTACAACTGCATATGGGTCATTCATGGTCACTATTCCAATCTTTCTAAACTGAAGGTAAATCACCCTAAACTCTCCATAGATGCATTTTAGAGTTCCAGAAAAATAGTGGTACTGCAAAACTAGTAGCTTTTCATCAGCTACATTGAAAAGCTTGGTTGGCATACTGCATAGTGCCTACCTTGCTTTCTCCCTCTTGAAAATGATATCGCTCTCCGTGGGAGGAATAATAATCAAAGAGAACAATGAAGATTTCCCCGTGTTTCCTTTGTTCCGATTTCATTTATCCATGTTAATGTAAGTTCATATCATGCCTTCATTTCAGGTCATTAAAGGATTGGACCAGGGAATTTTAGGGGGTGAAGGAGTCCCTCCTATGTTTGTTGGTAATAATCTGAAGACAATGACGAGTCTGCAAATTACTTGTACTGTCTTTATTTTCTCTCATCATATTGTTTTAGAGGAATTGTTATGGTGTTGATTTCGATACAGGTGGAAAACGCAAGCTTCAGATTCCACCAAACTTGGCATACGGACCAGAACCGGCGGGATGCTTTTCCGGTGAGTTCCCTGGTGCAACTGGAAGTTAGCATTCTAGACCTCTCATTGCATCTGTATCAGGCTAAATAATTGTTCTTGCAAAAGCTCTCCCTCTAATTGCAAGTATAAATGAACGTTAAGTGAGACAGACATTGTGGTTACAATTACCTTATCCCCCGACTCCATGATGTTCTTTATACAGGTGACTGCAACATACCTGCCAATGCAACTTTGCTATATGATATTAATTTTGTTGGCATCTACTCTGGAAATGCAAAGTGATGATTCGAACAAATCGGAAAACAAAAAGAAATGCAAAGAGATCAAAGTGAGTCTCCATTTATTTTTTAAACATAAAATGAGTTTACTATATATGTGCTCAAAGATATAGTTATAAGCGTGCGCGTGTCGACGTGTGCGCGTACGTGTTTTGTGTTTAATGAAGTTGAAGGGTGTTTCAGGTGATGGAATGAACTAGTAAGCTCCCTCCAATCTAAATGATCATCCAAATAGTTTGATGTGTAAGCAAGCAAGCTCCTAAAGACTTGAGCTCCATGCTACCTTGTTATTCTCTTTGGAGCTTGGTCTTTGTTTTTATTTATTTATATATATACCAGTCTTTGAAACATGCGCTTGTGAAGATAAAGTATGTAACATAATCCATGAAACACAAACATTTTCGTTAACGGAGTACTTACATATCATATAATATCATTTATAAGCACTTCAACATTAATAAAAATTAATAAATAAAATTATTTTTCTTTCAATATTTTGATTATTAAACTGCCATAGTTAAAAATATACTTAATGCGTTCTGTTATTACGAACACCGGTTAGCTTTGTGAGATGAATGATGAGTGGCAGGACTTAATGATCAGTATTATGATGTTAGTGAGTTTATTGTCGTTTTATGTTTATATCTATTGTTATAACTCCATATTTTCCCATCTATGCTCGTGTGCATACGCTAACCTAAAACACACGCACATATGTGAAAAGGAGGTGACATTTTGCATCTAATTCTTCATAATCGTCATAGTGTGCCAAACTTTTTGTATGTTTTGTATCACTCCCCATCTCTTTACTGACTTCCGTGCATTGTGCAATTTACGTGCTCATTGCATAGGAACTGCTGATCTTCCTTCAATCTGAAATGAAATGTACACCAAATTGTCAATTTTCATATATATGGAGGCATCAAATGACTTTTGAAAGACCCCCTTCCTCTTTGACCTGTTTTTTCATTTCTGATATGACATGTGCCGTTTATTTGTCCATGATGTTTGATAAGATAGGATCGTGCCACTCATAAAATGTGGACTTGGGAACTCCAAGTCCCAGATTTTGTTCGATGCCTCTGGATGAAGAAAATGCAGAGCAGATGCCTTTTGAAGGAATTATTCAGGGAAGAAGCAAGCAAGGTGTTTCTATGAAAAGCATGGCTGCTAAATGCAATGTAACACTGGCTGGAAAGGAAGGATTGCAAATAAAAGACTGATTAAAATAAATTATCACGATATAAAGAATAACTAGTATAAGTTTAAATTTTAAATATGACACACAAGGAAGAGTTTAATTATTATGAGTTTTAAAATAATTTATCATGATATAAAGAAGAACTAGTATAAGTTTAAATTTTAAATTAGAAAGAAGGGTAAAAAGTTATTGTGAAAAAAAACATATTTAAAATAAATAATGTATATATCTTTTCTTTGTTGAAGTTAACATTTATATGATTGATAAAAAATTATCAAATTAATATTTTATTAACTTATATACTAAAATGTGAAGATAAATTATACTCTTATCACACTAGCGTAAAATTATTTAGAGAAATCAAAAATTTAATTTAATTAATAATTTTACGCTAAAATCCTCGGCGTTTGATCGAGATTCTCAGGTGCAATTTCTAGGGAGGATTCTAGGTGTGTGAGTAGGGTACGTGCGTGTTTAAAAATATATATCCCTAATTTGCTCACTCATCTAGCTCTATATGTCTATTTTGATTATTTAAGTATCTTTTTAAATAATTCGTAACGTTATATTTTATTTCTATTTTGATCACATATCATTAGGTTTGACTGGACTTAATGGAAATATTGATGTATCATTGTATAAACACAATTTTAGTTTTTATATTTTTTTAGTGAATATTAAAATAATGTATATAATTTTGTTAATGTCAATAATATTACTTTTTAAAAAATGCAAATAAAAATTTATTGAACAGAAAAATGAATTACAACAAAATATTTTCCACCAATCAAATGCCGGAAAATAAATATTTTTTAGAAAATCAATTACAGTGAAACATACCCTAAAAATGGTAGAGTTGCTAGTTCCTGAAAACCATATATGATGATAAGCAAACCCTGTGTAGATGATAAACTAAAGTAGAATAATACAACCTCAACCCACACTTCAGAAAAAGAAAATTGATAAATTCTTGCTCCTTGGAACCATTAGTATGATCATTATAGCTACAACAATTCCAATTTCTCACAAACCAAAATTTCCAAGTTTTCATCTGCCTAATCTAAACGACTAGTTCTATTCATTATGAATATGGTGGATGACCATAGTACACCATTCCCGGTGGTTGAAGAGGCCGGAAACTAGGAGGCATAGGTGGTTGCTGAGTTACCGGCAGCTGTTGCTGCTGCGTCAAGGGTGTTGTTTGCTGACCTGATGGTATTGGCTGCTGCTGAGTTATTGGCAATGGTTGTGCAGTCAAAGATAACATAGGACTAACCATGTAGGGAGATGGTGGTGGTGGTCCAGGCGGCAATGGTGGCATACAACCATAAGTACCATACGGGGTTAGTGTCTGCCCAGATGACTGCAAAAATTGTTGTGTGGCTATGTTAGGAAGCATGTGATATTGAGGTTGAGAGGAAGTGGTTTGGCTTTGCATGGCTGGCTGAGGCACAAGAACGGATTGATAAGAATGGCTCATTGGAGCACATAACGGTTGTGCTGGCATAAGAGCATTAGAATCTGCAACTGCCAGCGACTTCTCTGATTTTGAAATTGCATCAGTGACGGAATTGAGGGAGTTCGACTGTGTTGATGCCTTTATTAGACCAACATTTTTGGCTTCTTCAGCTGCAAATGTAGAGAGAACAGAATGCATGATCATCTGAGAGGAGCTAGAAGCCGCAAGCTTGTCTGCAACCTCAGCTGCAATGGCTGCTGCAGTCCGCTTTGGTGTTTCTCCAGCTTTTCCATTGCCATCAATTGATAGGATTGTTGTAGCAGATGAGGTTGACACATAATCTTCATCACTAAGATGCTTCCGCATGTTAAAGGCTTCATCCGCCTGTGCTTGTGCTACCTATCGTTCAAAAGCGTAGAAAACCTACTTTTAGCACATTAGCATACTCAGGATAGCCTTTGTGATTAGCAGCAACTAAAATTGGCTTACACCCAGAAAAGCTGGACCAAAATTTTGGCATATCAACTCCCAAATGCAACTATAGCAAATAGCTTACTCATCTAAAAGAGTTCAGTCACTAGTATCCTATAAGCACAGCTCCCAATTCCTAAACTTCATATAAACTAGCAGTAAAAAGTAGCAGGTGCTATACATTTCAAAAGATTCCAATCATAGATAAACAGCATTTTACCTATACACTCAACCAAATGTGATGCGTACTTTCCCAACACATTACAATAATCAATACTGGTCCAAGCAAATAAAAATGTTCTATGCAAGCATCTACTCCTAACTTCAGTTTCGGTTTTCGTCCAAGACTTAACGTGCTTCCTAGTTCCAGTTTTGACATAAGTTTCAACTAGTTCTTATAGGCCAAAGGTGTAGCATCTGAACACCAGAACCAAACATCATCATCCAGAAATAGATAAGAAATCAGTATTTGTCAGGAGATCTTAAGAAATAAAGAATTCAATGAGATTGATTACATGCCATCTTTCACGTTACATAAGGAAATCAGTAAAATAAAGGAATACATAATAAAATTATCAGAATATATACCTGCCTCTGTGTGCGAACATTCTCTAACTCAGATTCCTGCAAGAAATTCATAAAGAAAGCTACCGCTTGATGATCTGATCATTACTGCAAGTAGAAACATTAACATAAGAAGTCATGAAATAACTAGGTACCTGTTCGTGAAGAGCTTCTTTTAACTGTGTTACAAGTGCTGCTCTATTAGCTTCAACTGACTTGAGTTTCTCAATGCACTCTTTCAGGAGATTTTCTTCATCTTCTAGTTCTTTGGACAAGGCTTCACGTTTTTTATCCTTCGCTGCAACACGAAGAAAATTTTGGATGATAAAACCTTTAAGAATCTCATCATGCTCTTTAAGCATCCCATACAAGGAAAAAATAATCAAGAGCACTACTAAAGTCAATGCAGAAGAGATTACCAATTGAACAGGCAATATCCACATCTTTTTCCATCTTCCTCACACGATGAACTGCTGATTTGCACTTGCTCATCTCTTCATCTTCATTTGGCTGTTCACTGTGTATCAAATGAAATGCTGAAACTATTTTTTCAACCGTTCCCCCAATCGATAACTTCTGGTGTGACAAGTAACAAGATAACAGTGGGAATTGGTTTTATCATATTGGAAAGGAAGAAAAGTAAAGTCAGTTGAAACAGACTACACAGCTGAAATAGTAGCCTTTGTAATCAAAACAAGATGAAACTTAATATTACAACGAAAACAAAAGTGCAACCATTCTAACCGTTTTAATGGATCTCGAGTCCCGTTTCACAATTCTAACAGATGCAGAGCGCGAACGTTTTTTGCTTAATTCCAATGGTGGAGGCACTTCTTCACCAAGCATCACATCCTTTAGACTTCGTGCTCGGGACCCAAAGACTCTTCGTTCTTCCCATATACCTACCTAACAATTTGTATTGAAAATGCAAAACTATACAGCTTAAAGCACTGTTAATAAGAAATAACATGATATTGTAGCATAATTGACTCCATGCCCAACATACAAGTACAACGAGCCATAATTTTGGGCATTTTCGGATGTATCTCACAGCAGAGCATAATCCAAGTTAACATAAATAAACCAAAGCCAGATGAAAGCATTCAGTTATTTGAACATATTAAAAAGCGTTAAATTATAAATATTATGAAATAATACACTGTGAGACAAACACCATATAACTCAACCAATAACAAAAGCATTCAGTTAGTAGACATATTAAAATGCCAATGGATAAATTATAAATATTATGAAAAAATAACAAATGAGACAAACACTATATATCTCAACCAAAAGTATCACAGTCATTTTAAAAATATAAACTAGTTTTTCAGATGACACAAGATGAATAGCCATGACACTTGTATTCCTTCAAAGAAAACTTACCAATCTAGAAACCACATTCTTCCCACGATCATCACCATTCTCAAGAAGGTCCTTCAAGGCTGAAGGAAGGACTTTCCAGAACTCATTAACAAATTCATTTCCTTTGCGTTTGCTGTTCTGTAGAATATCATTGGCAAGGTACAAGAGAGGGACTTTCTGAGCCATCTGTGAGCTGTGAAACTGTTTATCCCATGTTGCAACAACTGATTCTGCCTTGCTTTGGTGAAATATACACCAGTGAGACAATGCTATTCAGGATAGGTCAAGGTAACGTACCATATGAAATACTAGATCAATGCAATAGCACAATAATGCCACCAAAAGAAGATTAGATAACTGAAATCAAATTTTGCAGTTAAACAGTTGAAGTTACATCAAACTCACAATCCTCGCTTATGGAAACTACAAGTCTACAAGGTAAAAACAAGAAACTTTTTGTGTACGATGAACATCTCGCACAGTTCAAACTCAAAGAAACCCAAGTTCAACAATGATTTCACTTCATGAAATTTCAAATTGCTTGTTCCCCCTGATTTGTGAGTCTACTAGTTAATGTAATCTTATTTTGTCCTAGCATTGCTGTTTATGAATACCTTAACAAAACGAAAGTAAACCTATTAAAGATCTACAAGATTGAGCGCCTTATAAGATCTGCTTCATCCAAATGCAGCAATTTTCTTCAAAACATCAATTTTGATCGTATTAACAGTTCCTACTATCAAACAGTGCACTATGAATCATTAAAAAAAGTGCTAGGAAAATATACATAAATTCGGTTAGCATGAAAAATAACACAAGCAAACTCAAATATACATAAGATTAGCTCTACTAAACAAAAAACTAATCACACATTCGGAATAAAATCCTTTTTTAAAAGAGAAATGCATCAAAGAAGAATATTCAAAGCATTACAAGCAAGCATAGAACATAGAACTCGTAACATTTTAGTTCTCTTATCCTCTGCTAATATAAACAAACTTAAATCAGCTAATTAATAAAAATTTTGGAGGAAAAAAAGAAAGAACAAAAAGGATACTTTCAATACACTGCTGAGTACTGTTGAGCTTGGAGAGCTTATCTGCGAGTATCTGTTCGCTAAATATACTATTCATCCCACACCAACCAAAAACCCTAAACAATGCCCAAAGCCCCGATTTTTAAAACAATTTTAGGGGGGTGGCCCTCTAAAATGAAATCTAGAGACGAAACAATTAAAACCCTAATAATTACCCAAACTGAAGTAGACTGGGATCTTTAAACCCAGAAGCGGAAAAGTAACAAAAAGTGGATTCGACTGGGAAAACAAAGGATGGAATTTCCAAATTAGATGAGATGCATAGAATGAAAGGATTCGTACTGCGAGAAGAATCAATGGCCTGCATGTCACATAAACCCTAAAACAGGAAGATGACTTAGAACGACGAGACGAGGAAATAGATAATTTAGAACGACGACACGACAAATTAAATCAGGAGCGCGTAAAAGGTACAAGAAATACACAAATTATAGAAAGAAACCCTAAACCACAAATTACAGAGAGAAACCCTAAAAAAGATATTTTATTTTCTCAAAGAAAATAACCAAAAAAAAAAGGTTTCGAACGGGAAATCAAGGCGTTTTAAAGAGAGAACAAACGGAGGTTTTAGGGTTCTTAAATTTTAAAATTTAGGTAAAATACGCTCTAAGTAATTATGATTTAGAAATAAGTGAGTTGTTTTTCCAAAACGGAGAAATTATATATTTCATCACTCAATTATCTCCCGCTCCTATTTTAGTCATTAAACTTTAAAAAATTTCAATTTAAAAACTAAACTTTAAAATTACTTCTGTTTTAGTCACTTTAATTTATTTTATTAATATATTTCTATGATGAGACATTTATTATTATTATTTTATTAACATATAAGATTATAATAAAAATAAATAAATTAAAAACCCTAAATCCTATGCCCAAATTGTTAACCCAAAAAATTCATCTCAAATCCTAAAAAACTCTTCTAATGTTTTAATAATTATGATTTGCACTGATTTTAAAAGTATATCTGTATGTTTTTATTTATGCACTGTTGGGACACACTGAGTCTCTAGCTCACTTTTCAAACTGTTTTACCATCTTTCAGATACTCTTGGATAGGCACTTCGTATCAGACACTTGGAGGATTGACACATTTAGTAAAAATATTTTTGTTATAATATTTCTATCTTCCGAACTGCTTTTAATTATGGTGAGATGTTTCTTATTTTTGAAGTACTTATCTTTTAATGATGCTTACTGCTTTTGCTACTGATATTTGATTTATTGTGCTTCGGATTTATTACATGTTTTATTTTACATGGTCGCTTTTAGTTTCATACTTACGAGTTGGATTTTTATCGTTATTTATTATACTTTTATTTATCGTTATTATTATACTTTTATAAATGTAATATGATTTAAATTATCGAATAACGTTTTTGGAAAATGTCTTTAAGAATCTTTAGTGTAATCCGATAGACTTAATCGAAACACATAGGCTGGGTCTAGGGAGTTACAGTCATTTCGTTCAATATGTAAATATATTAAATCACACATGAAAAATAAAGATCCATTGTGTTGAAAATTGAATTCATCAAAAGTGATCATTAAGGACAAGCTAATAACTAACCTATTATAGAATTTCTAGTTGAAAATAATTTTTTTCCATTAAATTACTTGAATATGATCTTTCTATGGAATTTATTAATAGATGATCCAGACGGTAAATAAAATTTCCAACATTATAGATACTAAATGGGAGCTTGGGTAGTTCTACTTGTTTTTCGAGAAAGAAATGGAAGCTAGAGTACTTTCTGACGCATTCTTTGAATTGCAGAGTACCAAATCAAACATGAAAAATCATTTGAGGATTAGTCATTCACATAAATGCATTTCTCAATTTATAGGTTACAACCTAAGCTAGAAACGAGTTGTTGAAAAGTAGTCTTCTAAGTCAGGAGCTACTTATAGTTTATCGGTTACAACCATTCACATAAATGCATCTCTCAATTTACTGTTTGTTAGTTAGAAAGATGAATCTGATAATGGAGCTATTGACATGTGTTGTTATGCTTCATATATGCCAGAGTAATTATTTTCATAATCAATACTGTTTATTATTAGTCATTCAGCACTATGAATGTGATTAGAGGCACTAACCATGGTATGGATTATTCATTGGTAGATAAATGCTTTATGTATGGCATTTTTTGCACGATCTGAAGAAGCACGCAAAAGTCATTCTGTTCACAAGCTCGCTTTGGTACCTTCTCAACCTTCATTGTTCTTATTCCACGTATTTTTTTGGTTTTAGTTGGAATCTTTGTCATGTTATATAGTGATTGATATTCATAGCTGTAATTCTTCTACTAAATTATTGCCCCATAAATTGAATGTTCTTGGGTCCTACAGGGAGCACCTGCACTAGAAGATGCACTTTCTAAAGGATTGCCGATCCAGAAAGAAATAGATTCTCTGCGTACCTACCTTGAAGGTATTGAGAAGGATTCAATATTAGATTTGGTACTTTCGTCTCTCCCAGAAGAAACTCGGTGCCATGGTACAGACACTCTATACAGTTGAATCAAAAGGCAAGTTGTCTAATATATGTAAATAAATTACGAGTCCTTTTGAATGAGAGAACCTATACTTTTGGTTACATATGGTTGATAGTTCGCCATTGAAGAATTCTATTTATGAATTGTATGCTTCACTTTTGGCGATATTGTAATAAAAAGGAAGATTTTTAAATGCTTTTATGGAGGCAAGCTAAAAGTATTTTTTTTCCCCAAAAATTAAAATCTGGGAGGAACGACAAGCCTGGCATCATTCACATTACACCTCTTTAGCTGTTGTAGGTTTGTGCCCTCTTTTCTTCCTGATATCCTAATATCTGTGCTGAAAACATTGTCCCTTTTACTTGCAAATCCATTTCACGCCCTCCTCTGTATTACCGTTACTGAATATTGCTCCTTTTTAAAAAAGGAAGTATTAGTCCTCTTTATGTACCACATTATCTGCCAGTCGGATATAGACTGTCTCATCTAGATCTCTGTTGCATCTAAGTAGCATCATCCTATCACTTGTCTGCAGGAATCTCCCAAGTTATCTTCTCACAGCGCCTTAGCTATAGTATGGACACGGGGGGGAAGTTTGAGTTTTCATCTAGGCAATTTTGAGTTTATTTTGAAGATTGACTAGAATACTGTAGAAGTTACTAAAATTTAGTTGTTGATGTGACGGCATTTCAAGTTTTCATAGCCTCAACCATGCTGTTGTCTATAAGCAGTGGTAGTTAATAGTTCTAGTGATTCTTATTAATTCAAACAGATACCGATTCATAACATTGAATATAATTTTATTTTGCAGTTTAATGCAATGAAAGGGAGCCTAAGGCACTTCAGCCTAATTCCACCAGGCGGTGGTGGTATCTTGACACATTCTTTAGCACATATAGTATCCTGGTTAAAGGTATAAAACCATGTGATTTACCTTTCAATAATATTGTAGATATGCCATTGAAAATTTTCATGCTTGCCTTTTGACTATACTCTAGGTTAAGGGAGTTGACCAATCTGGTGAAGGGATTGAGTCTTTAATCAGTAGAGTTGACAAATACTTGGCTGAAGGAAAGCTCGCTGAAGCAGCAGCCGTCTTGGAGCAAGGCTTCAAAGGTAGCCAAGCAGAAGAGATAGTCGGTGATTGGGTGAAAAGAGCGAGGAATAGGGCCATCACGGAGCAAGCTTTAACCATACTTCAATCGTATGCTGCATGCATCAGTCTTACCTAATCTTCCGTCCTGGAACACTTGGCTCAAACAAAATCTTGGGTATGGAATTTACAATCTCACAATGCTTATTTTTCTTAAAAATAGTTTACTGTTGGAATACAAATTTTGGTTTTCTTCACTGAAAAAAGGTCCACATATACTGTTATTAGGTCATCATGGTGTAATGTCGGAATAAAGTATAGGATTATCGGAAACAGAGTGATTTCCTTGATCTCTTTTGAAGATATTGGCATATGTATGGTTGATGATGTGTCATTTTATTGAAATATTTTTCTCAACATTTTGCAATTTTTAACAGCCAGAGTTTTCCCGTTTCCAGTTGAATTGACATAAAAATTATATCACCTTAAGTTGTAACAACCTAACACTGATTCAACATATTTTGCATTGCTGTTATGAGAATTGCCCTCACAACTAACAACTTTTCCAAGTGGGCTTTTCAGATTTCTTTATGCACAAGGTATTTACCTTTCAACTAATTATCTCCTACACAGACAGTCTAAATTAGTTACCTGTACTACTTAATTAATTGATTATTATCTTAGTATTGGAAAACTCACTGGAAGTATAATGTATCTTATTTCACTTGTACTAATTGGGAATATTAAGGGAAGAATTTAATTAATAAATGGGGAGCGTTGTTTGTCACGTCCCTAGAGTTTTGGTCTAGCGAACGTACGGTCTTAGACTATAAAACTTGAGTCGATCGCCTAAGTAACCTTGTAAAACAACCTTGTGAGAATTTAAACTCATCAAGGTTGTTTTGTAGGCTTACTTAGACGATCGGCTAGAACTGTATCGTCTAAGGCTACATGTTTACTAGATTGAAACTTTAGGGACGTAGGTGACATATTTAAGACGATAAAACTAGATGCATAGATATCGTTGGTTTTATTATTTTTGATGTCAATAAAATAGTAAAAACAATACGAATGAATTATTTATGTTTCAAAGTGTTTTGAAATGAAAACAATACTTAAAAAAAGATCGAAAAAGAAAAAAAAAACTATAAAACCAAAAATCATTCATTTGCCCCTTTGATGACCTCTGCCTGTGGGCGGAAATCATATGTCCACTACACAAAATTGTTAGGGTATGTTAAATAATCATAATTATGATAACATATTCAGTCTATCTCATTTATTAATATAAGAGATTATTATTATTATTTGATATAATCAAACGTTCACTGTATAGACAATTGTCTGCTATAACTGGTTGTATCATGAGACATATGCTAAATATACCACGATTCTTATAGTTAGATATGTTTGAATAAGTTGATATGAGATATTATATTTATTCATTTATTATAATCTACTTAAGATATCAAGAAACATTATATAGACTATACAAATGTGACTTTTCCGTAACTTGTATCTGATTTAGATATGAAGGACAAAAGATTTTGATGCATGAAAAATAAATTAAAAAATTATGTCGAACCATGACTTCGTGCAACTTAGGTAGCAATAGTGTGTTGTTAAATGTCACTTTGGAGATAACATTGAAATGTTTAAAAATTTAGAGAATAATTCAAAATGAGTCATAGCATAGAGATAAAATTAAAAACTTCAAAAGTATAAGAATTAATTTAAAATAAATATCATATTTTGAGGATTTATGATGTAATTAACTCTTATATATAAAATATTTTTGAACCGTGTATATAAAACATAAATATATATGTACATATATGTCATATATGAAATAATTAGACAAGAATACTATATTTAC